TTTGATTTCATTTTAATGCTCTCCTGCCATGATAAATATTTATCCCTACCAGAGTAAATATAGTTAATTTTGTAATTTTGCAGATTGAAAGAGTACAAAATCCCTTCCTCTGGCAGTCATACCAATTAAAAAAAAAATCTATCTGTAGAAAGAATAAAAGGGAAAATAATGAGAAGTTGCTATTTCATGGGACTACTGCATCCTCACTGAGCAAGATCAACCACTCTGGATTTAACCGCGGGTTTGCTGGAAGGAATGGTGAGTCATTATCCAAATTGGTTCATTCCTAGACATGTATGGGTGCTATGGAATACCAACATTATAGTGCTGTCAGCACAACATGAAGACTGAATGAAATTGGAGAACAAAATAATAAACAACTCCAGAGTATAATCCATCTATATGATAGAGGTATTATTTAATAGACAATTATTAAATCTTTAGCATAAAGACTTTCTGCCTCAGTTCAAAGATTGTTTTGTCCAGTTGCTCTAGTACAGTCATATTGTGTTTATTATTCACTAGTATTTGAAGCTGAAGGACAGGATCCAAAGAAGTGGATCTTGGACTGCATTGAGGTGCTAGTTGCTCTTAGAGGCCCCGTCACCTTACTTCAAAAGTCCTTAATTTCTGTTCTTAGTGTCTTCTTCCTTAAGACTTCATTGTACATGCCTAGGGCTGAGTTGATCTTGAGCAAGCTGGGCAGTTTAACTCAGACCTAGCTGACACTTTGGTGTGGCCTGGATCCAAAAGTAGATGTTTCTCTGCCTGGATCCTCTGGAGGTCCTTACACTGAGATTTTCTTGAATAAATGAAGCCCAGCATACACAAATGTATCAGGTATATAAATATGCACAGGTAGGAATGGCAGCCACATTTTCTTTCTAAAACATGACCAGCGGAGCTGTAGTTTCACTTTCCTGTCAGGATGTTGGATTTAGTCAGAAAGTAAAAGTGCTAGATCCTTATAGCTATGTGGGTTCATGTTTGATTATGATACAAAGGATTATTGTGGAGTTTTCTGTCTAAATTTATAACATCTGCAGAGTTTAAAAAAAGGGGAGGGCTTTAGAGATTCCTATGAAAATAACAACACTATTTGAAAATGTTGTCTTTTCAAACAGCTGCAGCCTTTGGAAACGGAACCTACTTTGCTATTAACGCAAGTTATTCTGCTCAGGATCGGTATTCTGTTCCAGATTCAAATGGGAAAAAACACATGTACTTGGCTCGGGTCCTCACTGGGCAGTACTGTGCTGGGGCTGCTGGACTAATCACTCCACCACCAAAGAACCCAGCCGACCCTACTGACCTGTATGACAGCGTGGTTGATAATGTGTCTAATCCAACAATTTTTGTCATTTTTAATGACATTCAGGCATATCCAGAATACCTTATTACTTTCAAACAATAGAACAATCTTAATAGTCTGGAAAATTTTAGTGCCTTTTTACATGTGGGAATTGACATGGCAATTCTTTATTCTTATGTTTAGGTTTCTTTAGGTAGTTATTGATCTATCCATGTGTTTAAATGTCTTCAACAGGAGAATCAACATAAGCCAGTATTCTAGGACATGCTATTTCAGTGCTCCCATTTCAAATTCAGTTATCTAGAGATGTAGGCAAGAGCTGTGAGAGCAGCTCCAACCTCTTCCTATGCCCGGCAGAGGGCAATGATAGGAGAGGGAACTGCTCTGCCTTACCTATGGCCAGGAGTAAGTGGCATAGGCTAGGTCAGTGTACCTACATGTTCCAGTATTCACCATGAAACACCAAGTGCTTGGCTCCCTGTGAGGATTTGTTCAAAATGCTTCATGCTGAGAGATTCATAAAGGTCTTTTGCATCCACAACAGTGCTATGATTCTATGATTTTAATAACCTCACTCACCAGCAGAGTTTTCAGTCATTCTCAGGACTCCACTCACCCTTGCTGGTGCTGAAAGTCTGGAAGAAAAAAAATTTCCAGTATTTAACATTCACTTTGCACCATTGTTTCACCCCCCCTTACCCTGATATGGCATACTTTATTATTCCCTAGGTATAAATTACTGGACATTGATATTCATACCATATTCAACAGGTATTCATACCTGTTTCTTAGGGGAATTCTCCATGGTACCCTACATTACCTACATTGAGCTTCCCCGTACAAAATCACTGCTTCTGCAATTTTTAAGACTGTAAACAGGGACTTTTAATTTCATCTTATCAATGCTGAAACATTAACCCTTCTGTAGATCTATTCTCCAATTTGCAGAGAGTCAATTACAGGGGCGTAACTCATCATGCTTAAACAACTTGAAATTTTTTAAAGTCCTCTCAAACAAGTAACTAATGACATTTGTACATCTTTGCATGCTGTGGAGTTAATCAGGTGATACTCTTACAACTGCCAATCAAAAACTGTATGCATGAGTTTTAATAAAAGTAATTTCAAACCCCTACATTGTACGACTGAGTTGTTTACACAAAGGATCACACCTCATTTTCACAGTTGCTTTACATTTGAATATGTTATAGTGATGCTATAAAAGTTTAGAAGACAAAATT